AGCGCCGCTGCAGGTGCAGTACGTAGCTAAAAAAAAAAAAAAGAACCTGGTCGATGCTCGGCGTTAACGTCACCGAGGAAGGGTTGCGAAACATATGGCCGCAACGCTATTGCCATTTAGGAATGACCTGAGGACGTTCTGAAAGTTTATCAAAGGGTTGTAGAAATTCATAGTATTTGGGGTCACAAACTTTTTTCTGCCTGCGTAAGTGTACCCATTAAATCAAAACTGCAGTTTGGTTGAAGAAATCATCAGAGGAAAAAACGCCTCTTAAATTTCATCTATCTATCTATCTATCTATCTATCTATCTATCTATCTATCTATCTATCTATCTATCTATCTATCTATCTATCTATCTATCTATCTATCTATCTATCTATCTATCTATCTATCTATCTATCTATCTATCTATCTATCTATCTATCTATCTATCTATCTATCTATCTATCTATCTACAAACCTACCTACCTACCTACCTACCTACCTACCTACCTGCCTACCTACCTACCTACCTACCTACCTACCTACCTACCTACCTACCTACCTACCTACCTACCTACCTACCTACCTACCTACCTACCTACCTGCCTACTTACCTACTGCTTGGTATAAACCAAGATGGGCTCAATCGGTAGAGCGTAAAACGCGTAATATGAAGGCTATTGGCTCAGACCCTACTGACTAAAAATTTGCTTTTTTCGTTCGCTTTAAATATTTTCACTTAAGTTCAAGACTGCACTACAGTTAACACAAATAAATATTGTCCCCTATACTTTCCTTGGCTTACCCGTTTTTGATTTTATTGGTTAAAGAATCAGCATAGGATGGCATGAGTAATGATAATAATAACGGCAGCTTTATGTCCCAAAACCCCGGTATTACTTATTAGAGATGCCGTAATGCAGGGCTCTGGAACTTTTAGCCGTCACGTGTTTATGATGATGACGAATATCACACAGTACACGGGCTTTCGCCACCTTCGAAATGCGACCACCACGGCCGGTATCGAACCCGCGACCCTCTGGTTAACAGCCGAGCACCATAACACTTGCTCCACCACGACGGACTAGGATGACGAGAGTGTGCAACCAATATGAATGAAAGGTCATGACGTGACTAACTCAACATGCATTCTATGTACAGGGTGATCGTTCACAGCAACGGTGAATACATCATTAGTATTCAAGACCTCATAGAAGCTGATGTGCTGAACCTAATTCGGAAAATAATATTTTCTTTAATAATACCAATACTACACGTCATATATCAAACACTTTTCTTGTGAAAACGTTCAAGTTTTAGTGGCTCTAATACTAATGAGGCGTGCTCCTTGAATGAGGCTGCCCCAGTACATCCGGGAATGTGGCATGCGATATATGTAATTTCAGTTTAGGTACAGTCAAAATAGACATTGAAAACTTTGTGAGAAGTTACTCTGCGTGGGTCAAGAGAGAGAAACGCAAACTGTTTGTTGAGTTAATGATTTGTAGAACGCATGCAAATGCAGACACACGTTCTGGAATGAGCCACAACAATCAGCCACGCTATAGAGATCCTAAATAAAAGTATCCCATGAGTAGGTTTGTTGATGGTCTTCTAACACCACTTGTGGTGATGCCGTGCTGGCCTGATTGTTATTCCCACGCGCCAGTAGGGCACCCGCGTCACGACCCCGTGACATGTCACGGGTCGTCACATGGGCACGACACCGTGATGACCCCGTGACACTATGGTGTTTGGCTGCTGACCCGACAGACGCGGGTTCCATACTGGCCGCGGTGGTCGCATTTAGATGAAGGCGGAATGTTAGTGGCTCCCATGTACGTACTGATGCTAAGTTTAACGAGCTTAGGCTGGAACGAGATAAACGGTAGCGGTGGTTTGTTCGCGCGAGGCTCGTACTGCCAAAACACACGATCAGTTCCTACAAAATATCTTATATTTGAAAATCTTACAGTCGAATCGTTCGAAAGTTTGTGTGTCACTTCTGTGGGAAATAAAATATGGCTATAAGTTGCCAAGGTTTAGTAACGACTTGGTCGGCGTGTATGTACTTCTTGTCTACGATAACAAAAACATCTACGTACCTAGAGACTCTGATGATACCACTACCTTCTGGAAGGCTGGCAATATGAACAAACCACTGCAACATTTCAGCTCGTCCGACTCTAGGCTCGTCAAATGTAGCATCACGAACATGTACCTGTAAAATGCTTTTGAGAAATCCTACCCACACAGGCAACAGATAGTTTCCTCAAGCAGGTTGATCGTTTAGAGGAGGCAGGCTGTCCACAGTACATTCTAGTGTCTGTGGAGGAGAAGATGCTTCGGAAGTCGTGGAGCTGCCACTTGAACGACGAGAAACACCAAGAAAATGTTAAGATAGCCATGATTTCGTATGCAGGACACATCAATAATGTGAAAAGGATAACCAAACGTGTATATGTAAACGTGGTCTTCTCTGCACCGTTACAACTTTCAAGGCTCTGTAAGATGACCCGCCCTTGTCTCAGAATAGATCCGGAATGCACCTTGAAACACAAAACGATTGCGTCGATTGTCAGGCGGGTGTGCTTCTTGAGATCTCTTTGTCATGTGGTAAAATTATGTCGGTCAAACCACGCAGTGCCGGAAAACCACATAATAACAATGTGAGAAATGGCCGAGAAGGCCACCTAGCAATTCATTGCCGTGATTGTCAGTGTAGTCCTGACTTAAGTTACTGAGTGTTTGTCACCAGAAGCCACGATAAAGCTGTAACATTAATCATTGAGGCCAAGAAAATCATCGAAGCAGGTGGTAAGTGCGTTTGCGTGGCTTCCATTTGTCTATCACTAAAAGATGGCGTATCTAAATGCGACGACGCATTGAGGTCCCTTGACCGCGCATGGTGTGGGGAATTTCTAGAATGAGCTGTAAACTCTTGTAGATTTACGAATACAAGTACGCTTGCAAGGTACGCACCACGCCATAAATCATAATTTTTGTCAAGTAGGGAACCACCCGCTACGCCTTTATTCTTCACTCTGCGGAGAGGGGCACCCACTACGCATTTGCAAGGCCTTATTCGCACTTTGTTGATGCGCTGGCAGATGACGATGATGAATTCGGCTGAGCCCTTTATAATAAGTTGGAAGCATTCAATAACCCATTACGCAACTCGCATTTTGTCAAACCAGGTTAACGAATTCACACTGTCTGATGCCAGGTTGTTAGTTTGCTCTTCTACACTCTATACTATATACACATCTTATTAATATGCGTAGAGTAGAGTCATATAGTATAGCGTCTGGAAGGAACCACGTTAAGATGATCCTAACGTGGTTCCTTCCAGACATAACGCCCATATATATAGGCTGTTTTTACAAGTGAGTTTTGAGCCCCGTCGCGGCTCCGTGGTAACATACTGGGCTGCCACGAATGAAACCAGATCAAGTTCAAACACCATTTCATCCGGAATATTTTTTTCTTATTTTTTGTTATTTCGAGTGGTCGTGGTTACGGACACAGGCGGCGGACAACTACAGCGCCAAAACAGCTCTTGTTGTGATCTTATAACACCTCTAACTGTAAACCGGGAATAACAACTCATGGACAACTTAAAATATAAACTTGCAAGAGTTGCAAGCACTGCTGCTTACCTCAGGGGTTCAAAAGTCAGGCGTTTCAGCTTTGGGGATATTTTCTATAGTCGAATAGGCTGACCCTCCAATATGCTGGACCAAAGTTCCAGTTGCCCACGCGCCATACACGTTTTTGTTGTCTCATTCCTATATTACTCATCAGCCAAGCAATACAATATAGCTTGGCCCCTAATGACCTTGACCTTTCTTTTGTTAATCCTAAAGCAAATGGTGTAAAAATGAACCCAAGACCACCGGAAAACACAAAATTCCAGGATGAATCCCTATCAGCTAGATCAACTATCTCCCTTTCTGTGTTTCACTCGTTGCGTTACATCCCCCCCCCCCTCCACCTGGCTCCCCATGAGAATTCTTTTTATTCTTTCCGTACGCATTTGAAATCACATTAGACTAGCAGCAAAGACGTGTAGACGCTGACCCAGGTTCATAGTTTCTAATAAAGTTCATACGAAATGAAAAGTTGTCTTATGAGCTAGAGGTTGAAGTTGGTTTATGTACATTTATTCATTAATTCATATACCCTAAGGGCCCATGTGGGCATTACATAGGGGGGGGGGGTAGTTACAATACTGCAGGGTTATGTTTACAAAAGAAATGTTTACACAGAACATAAAAATAAAAAGGTCAATGCAAAAGGCACAAGAAGTTCGCATCAAAGAAAACATAGTAATGGAATGTAGCACTCGGTAAGGCATGACACAAGGTAGGCGATAACAGATGTAATAGTGGCACCAGACTAAACAAAAGAAAACTACAAAGTGTTACAGTTCTACATTCCGCATCTCCTTTAATTTGCTAACAGATGTGTTGTGATCACGTACTGTTACAACATCGCTTGGAAGTTTATTCCAATAATAAATCGCAAGACACAATGGCGAGTCACGAAGGAACTTAGTACGCGCAAACATGGGTTGTATTTTCCAAGCAGACTCCACGCGTGAGAAAATGCGATGAGCTGGTTTAGTCTGTGAATGTAAAAAGGATGAATCGCTTTTAGCTTACCCCACTCTAAGCTCGTCACTCTAGCCATTTCTCTTCCCCTCGAGTTAGACAAAACGGCTTCAACATGCATTTGATCGCGAAGCCCACTGTTTTGAAAAATAGACAAGATTACCATTAGTACAACTACTTTTAATTGACATTCGGCACTCTTTCGTTGATTGCTATCACCCAGAGAAGTGTTTTGACTACTCATGCATATACTACATAAGCAAAGCGCTTCCTATGACTGATCAAAACAGTGCACAAAAGCCCTATTGGAGGCCCGCGGCTGCTCTCCGCTGTACAAGCGCCGTTGTTCCATCTGACAAGCGATGCATCATTGCAAGGCTCAGGCTGACCGCCGGTCTGGGCCTCAGGCACACGGGCGACGGAGGCGCTAGTTCACCGCCGTCTGTGCGCAGAGCTGCAGGCCACTCCTCGACGCCCGTTTGCGAAGACCAGTCGCCGCCCACCGGAGCACCTTGCCAGGTGCACACCACTGTTCACACTCGCATCCTCTCCGAAAGACGGCAGAGGAGCCGCCGCAGACAAGGGGCACTTGTAATTTTTTTTGTCTTTTGCGTGCCGGAGAGCCTGAATATTCTTCGCGTCGGAGGAAGCATCTAGACTTGAAAGATGGGGGATGTAAGCAGCCGACTTCAAGGCAACGACGATGATGGGCAACGTGAGTAAACCCTTTCACTTTCGGTTCAAAGAATAACCACACGCGCAGCGCAATAATTTGTGAGAAAGGATGGAGTGGAGCCCAACAAACGGAAGGCAAAATGAGTGCTACTGAAGCCACACTCACTTTGCCGTTTTAAGCAGCATATGGGACGATCACTTGTAGCGTTGTTGTGATGAGGCGCTTCCCATAAACAAGATACTTTTGAAACGCTCCCCAAGTTTGAAAACCTGCAATATGTGACTCTGAAATCATCAGTTATGGCCCACAAGACTTGGATGCTAAGTATTTGCGTACGTTGTATTTTTAATTACTAAATCATTTTCAACATTTTACTTGCTCAGTGGTCCACAGATTCAATTATGTATATGAAAACAACGCCACATTTTTTTTTGTAAGCACAAAAAAATTATATGGTCCTGACCAACACATAGGCCTTTAGTAAGGCTTATCCATATTGGAAGCCTTGAGCCGATTTCAATGCTTACACGTGTAACGCGTCTGTCCAGACCTCCTTTCTTTCTTTTCAGAGAGGTCGTACATATTATACCCGAGATGAATAATGAGATGGGGCTGGAAAGAAAACAACGGGCAAGTGTTTGTAGCTGCGCCTTGGCCTTCGTTTTCTTTCTGCGGCTCCGATTTTTTCGATGTACTTCTTATTTTTCAGTTTCTGCTTCAGTTGTATTTATTATTTTGTTTTGTGTGTTCAAAATATAAAAATCGCCTTAAATGCAATTTTCTGCATCTCACCTACAAAAATCATCGTTCTTTTTCCACATTTCCGCTCTCTTAACGGCGTTGTTGTCCAATTATTTCAGTGTGAAGACTTTCTTTACTGCAAATATGCGCTCTCTAGCAAATATTGCTGGTATAGACATTGTTTTACTGGAAGGTGACATTATTTAATCAGCGTGCGTATAATCTACACAGACATGTAAGCATAATTTGAAGAATTTCTTCGCTTAGTCAGCTGAGACGATTCAATTCGTTGATAGCATCACAGTAATCTACCACACGAATTATCTTACCTTGCATTGATTGACGCATAAAGAGGTAAATTCAGAAGTATAGGAAAGAAGCGTTGCTCTCTACAGGCTTGCAGATAATGTCTGTAAGTGTTTTGTGTTTGATGTATTCTTGTCTAGTCCTTTACGAGTCATTTGAAACTCTATGTTTGACTGGCTGGGTAATTGATGTGCGTGTTACTCTTTGAAGGACACTTAGCTCTTTTTTGTCTGGTTTTGTGTAGCCCCATATATTTTTTGAAGTTATTTGTTGTTTGACCAAGAAACAAAGTTGAGCCCGAATGTGATGCTCCTTTTGGAAAGTACGTCGCGGAAAAAAAGATTCTTCTCCGGTACTTAGGGCAGTGCACAATGCTGATTATACAATACACGCATCGTTTAAATATTTAATTGAAAGTTCACTTGCTAGTGTAAGACGCTGGTGTCGCACCCCGTTAACTGAAGAAATCACACGTGGCTGCTTAAAATTTGAAACATCTTCTGTGAAGGTACGACAAAAGCTCGTTGATTTACAAGATATGGCACCCTTTGAGGGTGAAGCGATAAAAAAGTCGGAACACAGTGGAGTGACTTTCGACTGCATTTTGAGGAAAAGTAGCATTTTACGCAAAAGCATTCAGCCAGCTGGCACTGATCACCGTACTAGCTATTGCTGTCAAAGCGAAAGATGGTTGGCAATTTAAGATAACTTGACCACAAGCGTCAGAACTGTTAAGGGCCGACGCGTGCAATAGTTTTTTGTGCTGAAGCTGTGAATAACATAAATAACCGACTATTTATATGTCATCAGGGAGAAGACTATGGGCCCATATTCATGAGCATAACTGTGCTTACAGCCCGTATGCCCGTGTACGCACACACACACACACACACACAACACACACACACACACACACACACACACACACACACACACACACACACACACACACACACACACACACACACACACACACACACACACACACACACACATGTTGGGAGAGAGAAAAAACCGCCACAGTGGTCTAGCGGCTAAGGCACCCTATTGCTGACCCGCAGGTCACGGGATCATATCCCAACCGCGGAGGGCACATTTTCGTTGGAGGCGAAAATGCTTGAAGTCCGTGCGCTTAGACTTAGGTGCACGTTAAAGAAATCCAGGTGGTCGAAATTTCAGGAGCTCTTTACTATGGCGTTTCTCATAATTATGTGGTAGTTTCGGGACGTTAAGCTGCTACAATTATTAATTAGAGAGAGAAAGACATCACAGCTGATAAATGAGTAGGTTCTTCGGAAAATGGGGAGTCATCTTGCTTAAGGTGCGTCTTTTTTTTCTTATGCTTGCTCCCACAAGAGAAAGTAACTGTGCACATCAGACAAATGCTTTCAGTTAAATAATTATTGGGCTATATATGTTCATTTTTAAAGAAAGAACCATTCACAAAAAACGCCGATGCCGCTCATTGCATGCCACGTTAAAACAACTGACTAATTTCTCGTTCGGGAAACTTCAAGAGCATTGCTGGGCTTTTTGAGAGTTTTCAGGCACACATAATCATGGCATATATAAAGCAACGTCCCCTTTGTGCCTCAAAAACGAACAGAATATTTCAGATGTAATTTTACTTTAGTCGCCCTGGTAGTAAGGTGAACAGCACTTTGTTTAGACGCATGTGCTTTAGAATATGTAAGCCATTGCTGTGCCGAGAAATGAAGTCTCTCTGCCGGCGGAATAACGAACGCCAGCACACCGTGTATATCTATCTGCCTTTAGGCTATCTACAGGACCATTATAGGGACGATTGTGCTCCTTGAGGTGAATGTTGTGTGATTACAGTTCTGCGCAAATCAATTCCTCTGCTTCATAAGTGTTACCTCAAGAAGCATTTCTGTTCCCTTTCACTCGGCTATGCAATGAAACTATTCAGCATACAATCGTCTGGCGCACTTCAAGAAATTCAGGCTTGACTTTTAAGGGTACACTTTTCAAAAGACTTTCTCCGTGGTGTGTATTCTGAAACATAGAGCCAGAGATACTACTTTCCTCCGACAAAAAGAATTGAAGCTCGGACAAGTTGATATGAGTCAATTATATATTATTAACACCACATGCAAAAATAGGAAGCGAGACAGAACAACCAGATAATAACATATCAACATTCGTTACCACAACTGTGGGTACACACACCGTTTTCATGAAGTAATGGAAAATCATACAATCCAGTTAACCCATGAAATTATCGAAGCGCAATTTATAAATACGTTGGGGGAAATGTGGATTAGTGCACCCTCTATTGTGCTTTCTAATAAAAAATTCGATCACCTATACCCCCTACTTTAAGGTAAAGGTGACTGTACGTTCAAATGATGTCAGATGATGTGGCAGCGACGAACGCGTCTTTCCTTGCCTTGCCGCTTTTCGTTCGTTTGTGCACATTCGAAAATATTTCCTGAATTAAATGTAATTGGAAGTAAGCGCCTCTTGCCACTGCTTTTTATGTCCCATTATTTCATATGCGCTGTTAACACTTACTAAGCCGCTCTGATAATTATTCATATTGAACGTTAATGCATAAGTGCGATGGGAGCATACGACCAAATTGGTTTGGTCGTATGCCATATATTCGAAGAAATTACATGTTATTTCCGCTAATGTTAGTGACTATATACGCCCCAATAACATTAATGATTATTCAAGATTGACATCCACGCTTTGTATTAACTACTGCACTACAATGTCGAACGACTCTAAGTTATCATCGAGCAGGCTTTTCCAGCGCCAGTTTGACAAGATGAAAAATTGAGAAGCAATGAGACAGCAATAAGTGCTGTTTTGTCATCGTCCATTTCATTCAGAAAAATCTTGTTCAAGATAATGAACTAACCAAGTCACACTAGAGTCTTGAAGTCTGAATTATCGGCTAGACTTTTCGAAAAGTTTGCTTTCTGACCTTGCCGAAGCGTTGAAAGTTAAATGAAAGAGAGTAGAGATGCATATTACTTTAAACTGTTTACTAAATAATGTATCATTGTTCGAAATGTTTGTGGATGTGTAATACACAGTAACTCGTTAGCAACGGGTCACATAGCAAGGAATTCTAGCAATTAAAATTCAGCATTTTTATATGTGGCTGATAATTCTGAACCCTATACAAGCAATCCACCCTGGTAAAAAAATGTTGCTTATATGTGCGCTCAACCCTACTTGTAAGTAGACGAAGTATTTCCAGAGCCGCCATGAATCCAAGTAGAGAAAATTAAACTTTAGGAACATCAAACATTCTCTTCAGAATCACCGGGTCTATGAAGAATGCTATTAAAGAGGTTGAGGTGTGTAATCACAAGTATGGAGTAGACACATGATGCTTGAATGAGTTTGTAATTTTGTCGTGATGCAAGACATTCAAGGAAGTTCATTGGATAGCATCAGTTCCCTGTCTGTATACAGCGTAGATCGAACTTAACAGACTGTATGCGCAACGGCTGCAGATGTCAGCTTTTTCTTTTGAGGAATCTGAGCATTTTATTCGACGTGCTATGCAATCCTCAAGAAAAGGAGCCCGATGAGAAATTGTTCTAATTCCTTTTATTTCTTTTTAGAGTGGTAGACCCCTTACACTATTACTGAACCAGCCGATTGTGAACGGTTGACATTCAACAACAACAAAAAAAACAGAATCAAGAGGAAGGCATTGCACTACCCCAGCAAGAATTCACCGCAACATGAGAAATTCGCTGTAACCGTTAGTTGAGGGCGAACGCTTAGCTTTTGCGAGTGCCACAACAGATTATAACAATAATGTCACCATTCTTCTCCAGAAGTTCATGTAATGTAATGTATCTGTGAATTTTAAGTGAAGCCTTGATAATACAAACAGACACTTTACTACCATTTGCAACCAGAACCCTGCAACGCTTACGAATAGCTAGCTATGCCGGAAGAAACGCTGAGCAGGGCTATTCGTCTGTTGGGGCAAAGCGATTTACCTT